CACCAAAACAGCTTGCTCTGAGGGAACAGGGGTAAAGGAGTCTGTGGAGCAACAAAAACAAGGAATTAAGACCAAAGCGTTGCAGTTTTATTTTAAATAGACCATAAGTGAATGATTTAGACGTGAAAAAGAAGGATTTAAAAGCATGATATGATACCTTTAACCATTATCGACTAAATACAGCATTTAATCGTGATTCATTTTTTTGCTATTATTGCCCAAACCTAATATCGGCCCAGGCTTACTTATCAGACCAATACCGATGTTGATGTTGATATATTGTGCATATCTAGTTTTTTTTTTTTTTAGGTTTTTGTTTTTACTTAAAACTGATCTCATTTGATGCTGAGTGCAGTTCTGAGTTCAGTAACCTTATTGAACAAAATATAAAACACATTAAATGAATAAAATCATTGATGTTGTATTACTGTCCTGATTACAGGTCTTTGTGTGTTCTGTGTGTCCACCACAGAAAACAACAGAAATGCCCCAACCCAGACTGAAGCTTGTGGTCACAGGAGATGACTTTGGTTACTGTCCCAGGAGGAACCAGGGTATTGTGGACTGTTTTTTGGCTGGAGGTATTTCCAATGTGTCCCTTTTGGTCAACGCTTCAGCAGCCAAACAGGCAGCTGATCTAGCTAAAAGGTAACATGTTCTGTTTGTTTACCACCAACAGTCTTTGTTGAAGCAGACTTTACAGAAACTGATAGACCATTGAGGTTTTTTTTTTTCAGAAAATAAAATGTATTGTTTTTCTGAACCAAACATTTAATAAAGCATTTTGAAAATCAGAAGTAAAAATGAGGTCACAACCATATAATCTCCCTTATGGCAATTTTAAAATAGTTGGGTCCGAATTAAAAATAAAAAAAAACAACAGACTGACAGACTGCAATGATAACATCATAAATTCACAGTGGTGGAGAAAGTACTCGTTTGTCTGTTTATCTGTACTTTTACTTAAGTACAGTGTTTAACAGACAAACGTACTCTAGTAAAAGTAAAAGTACCACATTAACATTTTACTTGAGTAAAAGTAAGTAAGTACTTGCTTTTAAAATACTTAAAGTATCAAAAGTAAAAGTACTTGCTTAATGTATTCCCTAATGGTCTACAATATCATGAAGTGTGCCTACAGTATGTATATTTTTAATTCATCAATGGTGCCATTGTAGTGAACAAAGCTGCAGATAATACATGTGACACTGTTCACACTTGGACTTGTGATTTTGTGCATCCTCACAGATTGTGACAGCAGTTACAGAATCTGTAAATTCACCACCAACATTCTTCATCAAATCTCAACAAGTCGTGTTTCGAACCAGTTAACTTGAATAAGTCTTTTAAATAAGCCCACAAGGGGCGCATTTCCTCCGTGTTAGAATCCATTGTGGGCTTGCTGCTGCTCTGCCCTTTTTTTTTTTTTTGAAGGATGGTCTAACGGTACTTTCTTGCTTTGCAGTGGTTCAATGG